TCCCTCCAGCTGCGGCCGAGACGCCGGGGCGGGGGTCCTGCCCAGCCGCCTCCCCCCCTCTGCCCCCCGCCCCCGGAGGCCTCCTCCTCCCTTTCCTCGCTCCATCTTGGGGGGCGGGCCTGGTTCCTGGGACAGCATGTCGGACTCCGAGGAGGAGAGCCAGGACCGGTACCTGAAAATCGTCGTGCTGGGGGACGGAACCTCCGGGAAGGTCAGTCCTCAGCGGCCCAGGCCTGCAGAGACCCCGGCGCAGCCCTGCGACCCCCAGCCTCCTCCCTGCCTCCCAGCGTCGCCTCACGGCCCCAAGACCTGGGCCCCTAGGCCGCGGCTGACCTGGGGGGCCTGGTCGACTGGCGCGGGCGGAGGCCGACGAGAGCTGTCCACTGCCCTTTCGGGAGGTCCCTGCCCAGCCCCTGCCTGGGTCGCGGGCTCCTTCCAGCCTGGCCGGGATCGCCTCCCTGGCTCTCGGGGCCGGCAAGCACCTGCCCGGGCATCTGGCCTCTGCGTGTAGCGCGGTGGCAGTTGGCCCTGCCCGCCCCGCTGCAGCCCTCCTGTCGCGAGGAGCCCCCTCGGGCGTGGCTGCGGTCCGACTCGGCGAGAAGGGGCCCCGCACTTGCTGGCCCGGTCACTGCAGGGCAGGTGCTAACTGCGCGTGCAGACTCCATGCTCGTCTGCGTCAGGGTGGACGTCAGGGCCGCCCACGGGTGGGACGCGAGCACACCTGACGTGAAAGGGCACGTAACGCTTTTACAACACGCGCACACTCTGCAAACGGGGCTGCCGTTTCACCCGCCCTCACTGATCTGCCCCGCGCGGCGTCCGTCCCGACAAGCCTTCATCCTGCAGACGCGCCTCCAGCTCGCGTGAAGGGGCGGTGCTGCCCGCAGAGCTGCCCGCAGAGCTGCCCGCGCGTCCCGGGGCCTGCCTCGGAGTCTGGGCCGGCGCCTGGTGGGAATGAATGAATGAGCCCAAGTCCTGCCCAGTGACTGGAGGGAAGGAATGAATGAGCCTGAGTCTACCCCAGTGACTGGAGGGAATGAATGAGCCCAAGTCTAGCCCAGTGACTGGAGGGAATGAATGAATGAGCCCAAGACTAGCCCAGTGACTGGAGGGAATGAGTGAATGAGCCCAAGTCTAGGCCGATGACTGGAGGGAATGAGGGAATGAGCCCAAGTCTAGCCCGTGACTGGCGGGAGGGAATGAATGAATGAGCCGGAATCTGGGCCCATTGACTGGCGGGAATGAATGAATGAGCCCGTCTGGGCCTGTGACCGGCGGGGATGAGTGAACGAGCCCGGGTCTAGCCCGGTGCAGCCGGAGGAGTGAAGGAGCCGGTGCGGGCAAATGAGGGATGCGCCCTGCGGGAGCGCGGGGCAGCCCGCCAGCCCGTCACCCCGAACTCCCGCCCGCAGGCGCCCTGGCGGGCCTTTCCCGGAGCGGTTCGCAGAGTCCCGGAGGGCGACTCCCGCCACCGCCAGTCCCGAGCGCTCTCCTGGGGGTTGCTCACGCCCGCGTCCGCTCTTCTCGCCCCGCTCGCCTCCGGAAACGCGGCCCTCGCTGCTGCGCCTCCTGCCCGCCGCCCAGCCCGCGGCGCCGGTGACCACTGCCCCGCGCACTCCCGGCAGCTGGCCCGCAGCAGCTGCGCTCGCCTTTGGTTCCGAAATGAGTGCGTAGGCGCCCCGGGAGAGATGGCCCTCCTGCGCAGCCGGGAGCGTGCTGCCGGGGTCCTGTCCTGCCCCCAGGGTTCTGCCTCGCTCACACACGGCGGTGCTGAGCACGACTGACATGCTCTCCAGGCCCTTCAACCTGGGAAGAGAAGGCCTCGGAGCACCTGGTGGAGTGTTAGGTTGACTTCTGTGCACTTAACTCTTTCGAAGGGGTCAATTGTTAAATCAGCATTGTTCATAACACCTTTATTCAATAAAAATTCCAAGTTAGATTTTTGTAGTTTTCTCGTGATTTAGGTTTTGTTTTGAAGGCCGCCTCGTTCCTAAATCTTGTTGAACTCAATTCCTAATTGAGTTTATTTTCCATGTAATATTATCATGATAATCTGTAACGTTAGTGTATTTATTTAGAAAAAATGCTCATTATCTACGTGATATTCTTTGAAGTTTAGTTAATTTTTCTTCCCCTATTTTCCTGCCTTACGTGTACTATTCGTTTGAAATTTGTTCATGATTTTTATGTAGGATTTTTATTTAGTCTGTCTTACATGTTTTCCCTTTGTTGCTGATTTAGTGTAGGAAGTTACGGTTTTTAATGTGTGTTTAAAATTCTGTCCAGTGTAGGACAAAGCGTATTTTTTTCACTTTTGTATTGTTGAATAAGGATTATCCAGCTTAGAAGAGTAACAGTGATACAGAATTTTCATGGTGCTCTGACTTAGTTTTCATTATCTTGACTAATCTGTTTTTACCATAACATCTTTTTCTGCCAGAAATTTTCTGACATGAGCATCTGAAACTTGACCTTCTTGCATTTATCTGATGTTTCAAGCATTTTTAAAAAACCTTTATATGGTAGTCATCTCTGAAATAATTGGCAGGAACCAACGTTTCCCTCCTTTTTCTTTACTGTTCTATTTTATGAACCCAGCCTCTCTTTCCTTCTTATTTGTATCTTGGTTTAACTCTTGGACATTTTTTCCTAGCATCGTTTTTGCTGTGGGTTCTAACTCTGGTCATTTTTATACATACTGACAGAAGCAATAGTGCATTGAATTGAGCACTAATAGTTTCTCTAAGGGAAATGTAGCTCCTCCCTCCAGGAACATGTGTTTCTATTTCTTTCCTGTTTTGATTCATACTTTTGATTTTTCTTAAGTTTTCTTTTTGAGGCACAGTATTCTTTTTTAAGGTATCTTAGTGATAGGAGCATGGCTAAAAAATGTTGGCAGAAGATTTTCAAGCAAAATATATGCAAAGAATCAGATACAAATGCTCCACCTATGGTAACTGGTGGTTCATTTCATAAAATTTAAAGAGCATGTTTGTGCAGTGATTTGTGAGGAATTACTGTGAAAAATGGCATGGAGTCGAGACAGTTGCAGAGGAAGTGCTGCCCTTCTCGCCTCCAACGGGCTTGATTCAGCTGATTCTCTGTGCAGTTTCTGTAGCAAGCTGTCAGGAGGTGATAGAACATTCCTTTTTAATACTCTCTGTGATCCCAGTGACCTGTGCTTTTGACAGTTTATACTCTATTGCAATTGAAAATCCTAGCTTTATGTTTGCCTCAAAAATGTGAGTGTAAGGCTTTTAAAATCCACAAGTCCTTTTTAAGAGAAGAACCTTACTTTCAATTTTTTCTGAATATTCATTAAAAGTATTGAACTTTGAGAATCCGAAATGAAAGTGAAAAATGACCTCAAATGACATTATACTGATAATGCATTTTCTTTTGGACTTTTAAGTATTTAACCACCTATTATTAAACATTTTGAAATATCTTTAATAGTGTAAATGGTGAAACTCATTTTTTCTCCAGAACTTTGAGTCTCTTCACAGATGACTTTGTATTCTAAGTTTCACAAGCTTAATGGGATAATTAAGGATAAATTAAAAGAACAGAAGTCTTTAAAAAGGACTGCACATCTTTTTTATTTGATCTCTCAGTTTTGATATTGTTACATGTTTCAGGGACATAGCAGTTGTATTGAGTTTATTTTTAAATGTCCAGCAAAACTCTAATAGGCTAGTACTTAATAAATACTTGACCAAATATTTTGGAGTTAAGGTGTACAGATTGCTATTTGTGTGAAAAAAGAACTTTGTATGTAAAAGGAATTTTAAGTCATCCTGTTAAAAGGCGTTGAAACAGGGCCAAGTGTCCTTTTGCACTGCCGTACTTATACAGTTATGAACTGTAATAAGCTATCTTGGAAATTTCATCTTAGTTTTCATTACTTTAAGAATTGACATCTAATTTTAACTTATTTTAAAATAGAAAAGGGCTACTTTCCCTTAACATTGGGAGTCTTAAAAAGCATAAAAGGAAACTGCCTTTCCTTTTGGGGGAAGTTTACAAATAAGTATAGTGCATTAAAAATGTTTAAAAGTCTTTGAATTACTGAGTTGTTTCAGTTGTTACCAGAATGATTAATTTTTCTTTTGCTTTGATAAGAGACAGTACTCTAAAAAGAAAGGTCTACCGTCTTTTAATAAAATTTTGAGACTTTAAGAGTAGATGTATACTTCTGCTATAAAATCTTGTGACATTTTAGCCTATGGTTCTTGGATGGAAAATATTTATTTTGCCTGCTCCTGCTCTATGTTAATCTTAGAAATACCAACTTCTTTATTCAAAAGATGCATATTATCAAGAGTCATTCTGTAGAATCATTTTTATTTGACATTTTTAATGTAGAGAAAAATTAGACATTTCAGATGCTTTTCTTGTGGGGGTGAAAATTCTATAAGCAGATTTTCCCCTCCTTAATTTGTCCTGAGGGTACAGCCACCCTCAAAATGTTTAACCTCAGAAAGGAAACAGAATGCTCTCAAAGTTTTATTAGACTGACATACAAGATCAGACCTTTAATCCTGTTATTTTAGCTTATTCCATTGATAATTCTCAAATTCTGATTTCCAGCAGAATGAAGGAGCTTTATAATCGGGGGATTTAAAGAGATCTAACTGATTAGTCTGCTGTTCCCATTGATAGCTGCTGGGGCATGAAATTTACCTGGTGGTATTAAGTCCTTCCTCTCTTTGTAACTAATTAGAACTGCTTAAAGTTGCTTGCTGGATTAATTGAAGTACACATGTTAAGATTACTTAATAAGATTTAGTAGTGTTATGTTCCCATTTCTTAAAAAATTAATTTTCATATTCTGTGCATCAATTTTTTTAGACCTCCTTAGTTACATGTTTTACTCAAGAAACTTTTGGGAAACAGTACAAGCAAACTATAGGACTGGATTTCTTTTTGAAAAGGATAACATTGCCAGGTAAGAAACTAAAAAGTGTTAACATAGAAGATTGTGCAAATCACACAATAAGCGGTATAAGGCAGAAATGTGTAAACTAGACTTTGGGGCTGCTTCTACATGAAGATACATGTGATCAGGAAATCTGCCTTAAGGAGGTTCACGTTTATTAGCATCTAGCATGACAGCATACTGTCTGTGGTGTGAGAAAAATTTATACACGTCCTTATCCCTTCATTGTTTGGGGCCATTATATCTTTTCAAAAATAAACAGTCGTTGCTTATAAAATTCTAGAAATCTTTTTAAAAACTAAATTCTATGCATTTATCCACAGATATTGTATTAACTAAATGTGAAAAGATTGGGAAGGATTATTTTTTATAATATTATTTTGATTAGCTTCTGCTTTAGTTTTTTGTTTGAAAGTTGGAACAGAAGTATAATGTAGCTATGGAACTTCTGTGCTCTAATATGTGAATGCTGTTTTATGCAAGGCAGCATGAAATTGCTGGCATTTAATAGACCACTAAAATTTAGGGTCCCTAGGCACTCATAAAAATACAGTTTGAGCATTCAGGATGTTTCAGTCCACCCTGCAAAAAGACTATTTAGGTGCCAGTTGCAGCACATTTTGTAGGAAATACAGGGAAATAATAACAACAAAAAAGAGTAGGTTGTGTTTTAAGTTAGTTTCTGAACAATTGGGGCTTCAAATGCTCTGTCCATTCATTTTCAGTGGTTAAATGATTTGTTTGAAGTATTTTATTAAGAGCAGTTATCTTGGTTGACTTTACAAACCATCCATCCCTCTATACTGTGAGGAAATACACTTGAATAAAATAGCTGCAAGTGTAATGTCAGATTCGTATGCTGGAACGTTAGTGATTTAGTGGGAAGGAGCCTAGTAAGTCCTAATATTATGGAGATATGTTAACCTCTCAAGCGCCCCTTCTATCAGACAATTCCCCATAGAAGTTTTAGAGCGGCTAATGAAAACTTTTTAATTGGGGATATTCTTCATATCTCATTAGTAATATGCTCTTATATTTAGTGATATTTTCTATTCAGTTACCAATGAAAATTAGATTTGGAGATATAACATGAGAAAAACATTCAATTTTTTATTACTAAATTGTTGTACAGCAAGAGAAACATGCATTTTTTTTTCATTTGTGTTTTCTTTTAATGTGTTCAAAACTAAAAGTCCCATTGTATTTTTATTATTTTCACCCTTGTGTATAGGTTAATTCTATATTCAGAATACTTATAGACACTAGCAGAATTTACAAGATTTACAAATCATGTACATGCCAAAAACTCATTTTTCGTAAATTTGTCTCAGTTGTACACAGAGAACCTTGATGTGATATTTAGTTATTATCTATTTTGTTGTGATGCTTAATTAGCAAAAACATAAACTTTTTGTCTCATTAATTTTGTTAATTTTTCTGACTTTTTAGTTGATAGCAAGAGTAAGCACCTATTCAATTAAAAACAAGGACGGGTTTTGAATGTATTACATATGTAACACGTGTGATGATTTCTGACCTCTTGCATAATACCACCAATTTTAAGATTTTGATTGGTTTTTAAAAAATTTGGTATTCTTGAAATCCAAATTTATTGTATAATATTTTAGTTTTGGACAGTACTTAGGTTAAAAAAATGACATTAGGAAATATACTTTTAATGAATATATATTTTAATTTTCCTGATTAACTTGTTATTTTGCAGGGTAGAGTTCCAGAAAACTCTCTCTCTCTACTTTTTAAAAGGTGATTGGTTTTATGCCACTTAATGAAGTCAAAATTATGGTAGAAACTGTAGTAGGAAAAATTGTTTTAATGTATATTGATTTTATATAATTAATAGTTATACTAAGATATGAGGTGAATTACAAGGTTCATGGTATATTCTTTTTATACCTTAATGTAATTTTAATTTATTGTATGTATCAAATGTGGGATGATTAATATTTATGCCATTTGTTAACTAAAACATTAAAGGCAGCATAGTAGTCACATGTAATATTTGTTAGTCATTCAGTAAGACTTCTGACTAGTTGAATTGTTAAGGGTGTAAACCTCATGTCTATCTATTCACATTCTCTTCATGCAAGTTTTCAAAGGCCATTACTTTGCAAATACTCATCCATTTTAGTGTATTTCATGTTCCGGTATGCTGTATAGTCTGGATGCAACCACTGTGCAGATTTTACTGCTTAAAATAGTGTATCTGTTAGTCAGAGATTCTGCTGATAGAGCTTCTTAAGAGCCTTAGTCAAAATACTTTCAGGAAGCTTGTGGGTACAGTCCAGTAAACAGCGTTCTACTGTGCAAAGGATTTCTAAGTCTTTAGTACAAGAAGTGGGCAGACTTGTGTTTTCAGTTCCATCTCGACTGTGCGGCACTTTAAGTAAGGTTAACCAAGGCACCAAGTGTACTTTTACAAGGTCACTGTTGAATCCTCTTGGTGGCTTTGATTCATACCAAAAGCAACTTACCTGTATTTTGTCACCTCATTTATTTTTTTCCCCCCTAGTTATATGTCATCCCTTAAAGAGGAACAGGAATTTTTCAGCATTTTTCATCTGAGATTAGATTGCTGACAATTTCCTTAATGTGCTTTATTAGAAATTTACTTTATATGGATTCCTAATTTTTAAAAGTTTTATTATAGTGATTGAATATTATTATATAGCTTTATAGTTAATGTCATCTTGAAAATAAACTAGGAAACTTCATATGTTTATGCTGTGAAAACTAAACCAAATATTGATTTGAATCATATCTATATGATTTTGTTCCTCAGATAACAGATCCCAATTTTATTTTTAGTTTTGTGGAAGTTAAAAATATATTTCTGGATATATGAATAACTGTGAAACTACTATCATTTGTTAAAACTATAATGATAGTACTTTTTTTTTTTGCTAGTATTCTATATATCTACTTATAAGTGGATTATCAGTAATGCATAACTTTTTATTTCTGAGTGACTAGAATCTATATATTAATAAAAATAAGCAAATAATAACAACAAACTTTATTTCAAAATGTATGTAAAAAGTATCCCTCTTCCGTGGGAGGCAAATTGACAAGATGATTTGGGGTCTTAAAATGATTGTTGTGGGGCAGGCAGTGGTGATTAAGGGCGCTGGGCTTCCACATGGCCAACCGTGGTTCGTCATGGACCTGGTGGCTAACTTTCTTGCTTTCCCTCTCTCTCATTCTGTCCTTCTCTGGTCAAATTAAAAATAGATTAATAAATGGAGTCAAATGAAACAATTATAAAAGAAAGGTTGTTGTGAGAATTTGGAAACATGTAATGACGATCATGTTCTTAAGTACCTGGTTCAGATAGCATCTAAATATGAACAATTAAAGAAGGGTTTGAAAAAGGGAATAATCTTCATTTTTCTTGACTCAATAGGGATTATCGATTGTGAAGAATTATGACTAAATATCTTTTAATCAATTATTAAGTGTTGCCTAAAATCTTACTCTGTAAACGTTAATGTTGTTATGCCCTATCTTTTGAAGTAAATGGCCGTAAAGATTCAAGTAAAATGAGTAGCTACTGCCTGGTTATCTGGGGACTTAGCTCTTTAGTGAGAGCTAGCTCTTTCTCACCTGCTGAGTTTGAAATGGCATTGTCTGAGAAGGATTTCAGCTTTGAATCTCAAAAAGTTTAGCTTTTTAAGAAATTGGTTTATATTAAGTTGTTGGGCAGATCTTAGTCTGCGGTATTTCGGTTTTTGTATTCACAGGGCTTTAAGAACATTTCAGTCATTACTCTGTGAGTGTTGAAAGTATGCCTCTGTGGGAATGCTGATGGTGATAAACTTCAGTACTCTCATGAATGCTAATGGGAGTTTCTCATGGAAATCTTCTGCCTGGTGGCAAATGGGAACGACCTACATCCAAATAATGGAAAGATTGTAGTACAGGCTCACCAAAATTTAGCGTTAAGGGTGAAGCATTGCTGGTTAATCCAGTTTCATTCTTTTTATTTTCAGTTGTGCAGTTACATAGCATGACTGACATTCTCTGATTTAAATGTTTTACACATGTACAAAAATTCATGTCTTTATAATCTTTTGGACATTGAAAATTTAAGTTTTTAAATTTTTATTTTGAATTTTTCTGATTTGTCTATCATTCAAAAGGTGCTAATTGAGATTTTGGAGAAAACTACATAGTTTTATGAGGAGAGAGTTTGAAATGTTAAAATGAGAAGCAATCGGACGTGGTCCTTGACTTTCGTAGCTCAGTCATTAGTTGCAGTGGTAAAAGAGAATAGCTTATTGTAAATTTTTTTTATAACCACTGTTTTTCAAAATGCACAAAAGAAAATTAAAAGATTGGCTTTTAGTGTTTTTAGAATGCTTTTATGATCCTAGTATGGGGAAGATTCATTACACTATTTTAAGAAGTTTTTGCAGTATGTATTTCAATAGAAATGCTTTAAATGAGTAGGAATGCATGACAGTCTTTAGTGATACGTTGGGTATATCTTCTATATTAGTTCTGAACAGGGCTGTCAAGTATATTTATATTTTATACTTTAAGTTAAAAAACGTGTAATTTTAAAATTATGTTTACTTTTATGTATAATAGCTGATATTCAAGTTAAATGGGTCTATTTATTTGAGTTGAGATTATGAATATTTTGAGGTCTGTTATTATTCTGTGAGTTTGAAAGTCTGTATAGTTTAGGACCTACAGAAAAAAAATGATATGTGGTTAGGAGGTTAGCATAAAGGATACATTTTTATCTTTTAAGGTATATTTTTTATTCCATGCACATGAGTTTTATTGTTCTATACTCTGAGGGGAAAACTTTTTTTTTCTTGAGAAATTTTTGCTATAGGACGTGTGCTCGCCAGAGAGACAGACGAGAGCGAGTGAGTGATCAACACTCAGGGGGGATGGCCACGCTGCAAACCCTTCCCCATTCTCCTCTCAGGATTTTGGGCATGCAAGCACATGCGGCTGGCATGAATTTTAAGACACTGGGTCTCGGACTCGAACTGTAGTCAGCTACGTGGGAGTCCAGCGACGTAATCATTACACCATCTGCTCGTCCCTGAGGAAAATTTTTTTTAAAGTTTAAGTTTATAAATGAAAGCTTACATTATTTTCTTTTATTTTGAATTGATTGTATATGTGACTGTGTAGAAGCTTAGTGAAAGGATAAATGTAGATTTTCCACCATGATTTCTTATGACAGCATTATTTTCACAATTCTAAACATCCAGCTTTAGGAACCTTCAGAATAAAAGGCATACTGGGTTCAGAGTTTATCATTGTGTCTTACTGTTTCATGACTGTATTTAGCTGTAATATTGTCACATAACTATTTTTTGTATTCTTATGTTTATATTCTTTTTTAAAAATATTCTAGGAAACTTGAATGTTACTCTTCAGATTTGGGATATAGGAGGGCAGTCAATAGGAAGCAAGATGTTAGATAAATATATCTATGGAGCACAGGTAAGACACGAATTCTATGATTATTTTAGTGTTGAAAATATTCCCCTTACAAACACACCTGCAAGTACACACATACACAACACATGCTTCCTACCTTGATATTTATCTGATATGTGGAAAGACTGACTTTACATTTGTGTTGATCCTTTGGTTTCATTCTCCCCAGGTTATGTTTGGAATTATTCAGGTGAAGAACTAGTGATACAAAGTGTTAGGAGCTGGAAAACGTTTAACAGTTTTCATATGCTACTTATATTACTAGATATTATTGACATCAGTGGATAAAGTAATAAATTATATATATAATAAATTATATTTTGATATGTTTTAGCTGGTTTGGTTAAAGTGTTCATGTAAATTAATAAAAAATAAAGGAAATTTAAAATTTTAACTTTCAACGATAGAAAACATTTTCTGTATGTCTGTTTTTATGCTGTGAGATAGACATATTGATATTTTGTGTCAGATGACTATATAACTAATTAGATTTATTAAGCACATAGAATAATATAATTCAATAATTATGTATTTTCAGAAGACAATACATATAGCACAAGAAAAATTACTTGAATAATTACATACAAATTCTTTGGCACCTTGAGCTTATATAGACATAATTTGTATGTTTTCAGATAAAATTATTGTTATTAGAAGATATGCATGGTATTAATTATGTCTCTCTGTTTCAACATGTTCAGTGAAGAATTGCCTTTATACTGTTTTGACAGACTGCTACTGATTTAATGATAGACACTTTAGGCATGTGTTAGTGAGTCGCAGAACACCGTGATGTGATGAAGTACACGATTTACAGCTGAATGTGAAGTACATGACGCTTACTGAGCTGCTCTGTATGTTGGGTCCCCGGGAAAGTCATGATGCATTTCTGCATAGAAAAACAGAAAAATACCTCATTACTTTTCCAGCCACGCAGTAGTACTTACTGATATGCTATTTCTTTATTTTTCATTATTCTTACACTTTTAATAAGTGTGTATTTTGTATACCGTCATGGGACATTCTAAGGATAGTAAAAATCTTTGTTTTATTGGAGTTTGGCATTTTCCGTGGGAGAAGCATAACTTCAGTTATGTGGAACTCTGTTGATCATAAAAATGAATCTATAAGGCAGAGAGAATGTTACTTACTTTAGTGTACGAAGGTTAGTTCTTGTTGAATGCTATTACCTTCACTTGGGAAAGAATATAGATTTTGATTTATGTATGCGCGGATGTATATGCCAAACCCTGAGAAGATTCTGATTTATTTTGTAAAATATTTAGAAAAGGATCAATAATGCTATGATGTCTCTGAATTATGTATAGAGACACTATACATTTTTGTGTTTTTTGCTTTACTTACATATAGATTTGGTTCTTGGAATTTTGTTTGTTTTCTACATTCTTTGTCTCTTGCAAAATCTGCTCATGTTCAATGCTTTCATTTGTGATCCATGTTTTAGCACATTTATGTTTATTTTTCTGTTAAAGAGTCCATTTCAGATTTCTGTGACTACCTTTTTTCTTTTTTTTTTTTTGCTGTTTAATATTTTTCTGTTTTAAACTGATAAAGTTTAAAGTGGATACTAAACTAACGGACACTGGTTGGACAGAGATTTGTGGGAAGCCACATTCCTCGTTTTACTCATGTAGTTGGTAAAATGGAATCTATAATAACACTCTCTTTCTCTTTGACTCATAACATTTCAAGGCCACATATAGGATATTTTTTAAAAAAATAAATTAGTGTAACTTCTAATGATATTTGACTGAGTGTCAAATAAAATACCACTTTATGGTTTATAGGTATAGGTAGGTAGAGTTAGTGAGGAATAGTAGAACTTTATGCACCTTATTGTAAGTAATAATATAAAATTCCATTTTTTACTTAAAAATTAGAATATATTATTTATGAATTGGATTCTGTTAATTGAACCTTCAAGTAATTTAAACTTTAATATTTATTTAAACTTTATTGCTACCATATCAAAATTAATATTGATGTTAAAGTCATATAATATAATATTAAACTTTCTGAAGTGTGTAATCCATGGCATTTAGTGCAGTTACAATATTGTGTAACCATCCCTTAAATTAGTTTTCAACTAAAGTATAGTTCATGTTGTTACATAACTGCTTGCTTACAATCACCAGGCATTCGTAGGAAAACCTGTAGAAATTTAAAGGTGTTCCTTTTTTGTTTATGAGGTTATTTGATTTTAGTAAAGTGTTTCAGTTCTCTTCTAATATACTGTATTTCTTTTTTTTAATATTAAGTTTTATTTATTTGCATTCATTCACTGAACATCATCACTGCATACAAGATGCTGTTTCCCATCCAGAATACACTGTATAGTGGCTTAGTCATACATGTGTTTTTTTTTTTTTTTTTTTCTTTTTTTGAGAGATTTTTGCTATAGGGCGTGTGTGCTCACCAGAAAGACAGAGAGAGATAGAAAATGAGAAATCACCCCCCAGGGGGGATGGCCATGTCATAATCCCTTCTTTTCCATTCTCCTCTTGGGATCTTGGGCACACATGTACATGCGCCCAATGTGAGTTTAAGCCACCAGTTCCAGGACTTGAACCACAGTCGGCTATATAGTAGTCTAGGGACATATATAATAACAATAACATATATAATGTTATATATATATTTCCCCAACCACCATTTCTCACCCTCTGCTATCTCCCACCCTCCTCCCACTCTATCTCTGGTATCTACAGTTGCTTTCCAATCTTTTTTTTCCCTCCATTTTATTGGTTAACAAAATATCTTAATAGATCTAAATACTTAAAGTTCAGCTGATATATAAATATCTGTGAACAAATGTTTGACTTTAGGCATGAAATTGTGAGTAGAATGAATATACTATAAAATAGCACCTAGCTGAGGCTATATAGCTTACCGTGGTCATTAAATAGGTAATTTTTTTAAATATGTTTTTTCATTTCAAGAAAGGCAGTTTTAGCTTTAATAAATAAAAATCAAAAAATGTGAAGAGAACCTTGCTTAAAACTTAAAGCCAGGAAGCAGGTTAGGATTCTGTTCAAATAGTAGTTACCTGGATCTGTTGACAATTCAAGAGAAGATACAAATCCTTATCTCTGGACTACAAAGCATAGAAAAAGGTCAGTATTGTTTTAGTCAAAAGCCATAAAATTCTATTTAATCAGCTTAGTCTCATGTACTTAATCTAACTTCTGTTGTGGTTCAAGCTTTCCATTTAAATTCTTAAAGATAATATTCAACTCTGGACTTGTCACTATCATTAAGCAGGCCCTTTTCTTAGATGTTTTTTAACTCTTATTTCTTTGTGTCTGACTTTAGTTTTCCTGACATAACATTCCCTTTAGAACTTCTTGGAGATCTGGTCTGGTGTTGGTAAATTCTTTCAGGTTTTGTTTATCTGAAAATGTTCTTGTCTTCTCTTCCCATATGAAAGATAGTCTTGCTGGGTATAGTATTCTTGGTTAAAATTGTTTTTGACTCAACACTTTGAATATATTTTCCCATTCTTTCCTTGCTTGCATTATTTCTGATGAGGGGTCCACTGTTACCCTGATAGGATATCCTTTGCATGTAACTTGTCATTTCTCTCTTGCCAGTCTGAGTATCTTGTCTTTTTCTGTGGTTTTGGTCAATCTGTCTATAATGTGTCTTGGAGAAGATCTTCTGGGGTTGATTCTATTTGGAGTCCTATGTATTTCTTGGATCTGGATCTTTGAATGCCTCTCTAGGTTTAAAAAGTTTTTTTTCCAGGATTTCATGGAATAGATTATTAATGCCCTTATGAGTCTCTTTACCTTCTGGGATACCAATTATCTGATGTTTGGACGTTTGATGGTATCTAGTATTTTTTGTATATTTTTCTCATTTTTTTGGACTATTTTCTCAGTCGTTGTGGTAGATTTTTCTAGGCCAGCAATTCTGTTTTCTATATCTGAGATTTGATCTTCTATATGATCTAGTCTGCTTTTAATACTTTCAAAGGTGGTTTCAATTTCCTGTATTACAGCCTCCATCTCTTACAGTTCCATTTGGTTCTTTTTTATGATGCATATTTCCTCTTTTAGCTCTTGCAAGAACTTTCTCACCTCTTGGAACTCCTTGGTTCTATTCTCCTTCCTCTTTTGGAGTTTATTGTCTCTCTTCTCTTGCAACTCTGTTAACATTTTTTATTTTTTGGAGAGTTTTTTTTTTTTTTTTTTTTTTTTTTTTTTTTTTTTTTTTGGGGGGGGGGGCCCCCCACAAAAAAGGGATGGAGAGAGACAGATAGACAGAAACGAGAAATCACCTTCCAGCAGGGATGGCCATGCCGCAATCCCTTCTCCTCCTTTCTCCTCTTAGGGTCTTGGGCACACATGCACATGCACCCAGTGTGAGTTTAAGCCACTGGGTCCGGGCTCGAATTGTGGTCAGCTCCATGGAAGTCCAGTGACATAGCCATTACATCAACTGCTGGTCCCAACATCTCTGTTAACTTTGTCACTATCAATATTCTAAATTCTTTATCACACATTTCCATGATTTCCATTGAACTGTGGATGAAGAAGAGTTATTCTTTTCCCTTGTGGGGTGTGTTATCTTGGTTTTTCATATTTCTTTTGCCTTTATGGTGATTTCTATTTATCTGATGAGTTACATACTTCTTTCTAACTGCTAGAAGTTCAATCTGAGCATTCAGGGGCTTTCAGGAGTAGGTTATCTCTTTGCTGTTAGGTTTTTCTTTCTTTGTACAGCAGATTCAGTGAGTATTGAGGAATATCTTAACTCTAACAGTATTTGGATGTTCAGCTATGGTTCCCTTAGATCTCTCTAGGCCCTCTGTGAATGGAGATTGAGCAGCAAAATGTTGAGGTAGAAGAAAGAGGACAAGAAAATAGAGAAAGAGAAAAAAAGAAAGAGAAAAAGAAGAAAAAAAGGGGAACCCCCCAACCCCCCCAAATTAATTTTTTTTAAAAAGCAAAAAATAAAAAGCATTATTTCTCTACATGGAG